CGGGTTCGATCCTCAGCACCACATACCAACAAAGATGTTGTGTCCGCCGAGAACTAAAAAATAAATATTAAAAATCCTCTCTCTCTCTCTCTCTCCTTTAAAAAAAAAAAAAAGCTTGTATTACAGATCTTTTTATCTTTTACGTTATAAAAAATTAAAATTCTAAGTATAATATCCTCCTCAGATATATTTCTTACATTCTGTGGTTATCTTTTCTTGATATAATTGTAGTACAAAAGTTTTTAATTTTGAGAAAACTAATACACACACACACACACACACACCACATGTACTTTCGCATATTTTTATGATTTGAATACTGGGTGTCATATCTTAAAGTTATTTTATAACCAAAGTCAGAAACACTGATTCCTGTGTCTTAACATTTTTATAGTTCTTGATCTTATGTACGGATGTAATAAATTTTGAGTAATTTTTTCCACATAACATAAGGAAGTATTCCAAATTCTTTTGAACAGGAACATTCAATTATCTCAGTACCAGTTGTTGAAAAGACTATTGTTTCCTTCATTAAATTTTCTTCTTAGTTTTTAAACAATAATTGACCCTAAATGTTTGTTTCTGAACTCTCAATTCTGCTCCATTGACCCACATGTCTATTCTCATCCCAGTACCATGCTGTTTTGTTTACTATGGCTTTATGGTACATTCCAATATCAGGAAGTATGAGTATCCTGTTCTTTTTCAAAAGAGTTTTTGGCTACTTTCATTTCCCTGTATTTCCATAGGAATTTTAAATTATCTTACAAATTTCTGTAAAAGAAGCATTAGAGTTTTTAATAAGGATTAATTAATTTGTAAATCAATTTGGGGAGTGCTGCCATCTTAATTTTAAGTATTCTGATTCACGAATATGGTGTGTTTTCTATGTTATATCTTCTTTAATTTGCCTCAGTAAAGTTTTGATTTACAAATAATTTCTTTGGTTAAATTTAACACTATATTATTTTTTGTTGTTAATATGAATGGAGCTGTTTTATTTAAGTTTCAGACTGCTTATTGCTAGTCCAGAGAAGTAAAACTGATTTTTTACATTAATCTTTTACCTAGACTCTTATGTCTGCCAATGTAATTTATTAGTTGCAATAGTTTTATATATAATAATATTCACACATTGCTGAATATTGTTTGCAGTTTTTATTTATATTAACATTCTTAAGTGATATTGATCTGCAGCTTCCCATTCTTAATCTTTGGGTATGAAGGTACTATTAGTTTCACAATGAGTTGGGAAATGTTCCTTTCTCACCTATTTTTTGTGGTACTGGAGATTGAACCCATGGGTACTTTACCACATCCCAGTCCTTTTCTTTTTTCTTAAGACAGGATTTTGCTAAGTTACCCAGGATGACCTCAAACTTGTAACACTCTTTCCTCTTTCAGCCTCTTAAGAGTAGCTGGGATTACAGGAAAACACCACTATGTGTGACATTTCCTCAACTATGTTTTGAAAGAGTTTTCAAAGTATTAATTCCTCTTTAAATGGAATGTTGTACCTTTTAACCAACATCTTCCATTTCCCCACTCCCTCCTATCCCTTGCCAACTATCCCTGCTTTCATGAGTTCAACTTTTTTAGATTCCATGTAAAAGTATATGCATTTTTATGCCTAGTTTACTTCATTTAGCATATTGTTTTCAAGTTCATAAATGTTGCTACAAATAACAAGGCTTCCTTCTTTTAAAAGCCTGAATAATATATATATATATATATATATATATATATATATATTTAGTATATATATTAAATGTGATATATATATTTATATATATATATTCTTTCTATCTATCTATCTATATCTCACATTTAGTCACATTTAGTTTATCCATTAATTCCTCTGTGGATATTTAGATTGATTTTACCTCTTATCTATCACAAATAATAATTATCAATGAAGGTGAGGGGTGGGCATATCTTTCAAATATATTGATTTCATTTCCATTGGGTAAAGTAAAAGATTTCATTCCTTTTTTTTTTTTTTTTTGTACCTACATATCAGTTGTTTGTATCAGTTACTATGATATTACAATGACTTGTTCCCACCAAAACTCATGGTGAGGCTTTATCCCCAATGCAACAGCATTGAATGGGTACTGGGACCTTTAAGAGAGATTACTGTTTTTCTTAGGTCTTATAGGAGTGAATTAGATCTTGAAAAAGCAAGTTTCTATAAAGTAGAGAGCAAACAGATGAGCAACTTTGTCCCTTCTGTCTTGCATATGTTCTTCTTTGCAAATGCTTACTTCCTCTTTCTGTTTCTCTACCATGATATGAAGCAGCATGAGGCCTTCACCAAAAACTGAGCAGATGCTAAAGTGTGATGCTCTCAGACTGCTGCACCTTTCGAAGAGTGAGCCAAAATACACCTCTTTTAATTTACCCAATCTCAGTCTCCTGTTATTGCAACAGAAAACAAAGACACCATTTATTAAACAGAGTGCCCTTTTACCACTTCACTTTCTTGTTATCTTTGTCAGAGAGCTATTGAACATAGAATTATGCTTACAACAATAAATTATCATGGTGTAACATTTTGAGACACACACACACACGCACAAACACATAGGAACTACTGCCTATTCAACCTAAGACATGTGTTGGTGTTGTTTCAGGGGAAATATTCTGTGCCAAACCCCTCTTGGCTGGCAAAAGCAGTCATCAATAATGATAAGGCCTCTCAGTCAAAGGTTAAAAAGCCTAAGGTAACTACCAGCTAACAAACACTGTTGGCCTAATCACATTTCCGCTAGCCAATTCTGTAATTTTTCACTTTTTTGCACCCACACTTCCACTCACTCCAATTCTTTTTAAAACACCTAATTGCCTCTGCATAAGGGAAATTGAGCTCAGTTCTCTCCCTTACTGTTAGTAGTCACTGGGCAAAACGTTTTTTATCACTTTAACTAATATCCAGATGCTATCTTTGTCATCAACCACCTAATAACTAATTTCAGTCCCACTTCTTTGACAAAATGATTCCAAAACAGATGCAAAATGGTTTTCCCTTTCATCTGTCTTCCAAAGCATTTGCACAGAATTTTACGCTTACCGAGCTTTATAAAAGCCATGTCACATTCAGGGCATACACTGTATTTGATTTTTTAAAAAACGATAAAATATCCATTTATCCCTCAATAACTCTGATATATTACATAGGGTGTCTTTCGGTACCTCTCCCCACCCCTTTCGCGATTCCCTTAAACTGGTTTTCTTCTCTTCATCTGAAGCCACGTTTACTGCAGAACGTTGGAAACTAGCTGGTTGTAGCAGCTTCCCTTTCCCGGAATAAACCCAGGATGGCAGAATCGATCTTGAGAAGCTGGCCCAACAGGAGTCCACCGTACTACGCTTTCTCGCGACACCGGGAAGAGCGCAAAACTGCGACGTCGTCCCGGGAAAGGGACTTCTGGAGGGAGCGGGGGCGGAACTTCCGGGGTCGCGGCCACCTGCCGGGGTCTGAATAAGAATGCCACGGACCGAAAGGGGACCTGGGTGAGCGAAAGGAATCGCGGGGGAACAGAGTTTGGGCACCGGAGAGCGGAAGAGGCTCTAGCGGAAGCAGGAAAAAGACTCCGAAAGGTAGCGCGGAAGAGAGCTGAAGGGGGTCGTGGGGAAGCGGAAGGAGAATTTCCCCTCCCTTTCGGGCTCTGTATTCGTAGGAGCTGGCGGTAACCTTAGCGTCATCCGGAAGACAATCCCACAATGTGGCTGTGGAGTGGATGCTAGCGCGCAGCCCAGCGAGTCTCACACGGAGAACAGAGGGGCTCCGCTGCCGGGTCCTCGCCAGGCGGCCGAGCAGGCCCACTGCCCCCTGCTGGGCGTGGGAAAGCAGTGGCTTGCGCCGCCCACTGACCTTCCGAGTGTTGGAGGCGCCGGAAAACTTTCCAGGGGAAGTGGGGGCTTTTAACATTTTCAAGGGGATAAGAAGGCCTAATTTCAAAGCACTTATTTGATTTCTAAAGACTTCCAAGGCCTTGGGTTAATTAGGTAATGGTCTCTGGGATCTCCGTACTTGTTTGTCTCTTTCTGTTGTATTCAGTCTGGCTTAACTGCCTTTATTCTAGAATTTTTGTGTATGTGCCGCAATAATTAAAAGGCAGTACACACGTAGAGGGGCCACAAATGTAGATTGAACCCATAGGTAAATTATGATTGAAAAGACTGATGAGGACTGAGAGAATATCCAAATCAGCACTCCCACATTCCCCATCAAGGAGTTCAGTGTATACCAGCCATTATTCTAGGTGCTCCAGTTTGTAGAGATAAATGGACACGGACAGGGTTAGCAGAGACTCCTTTTGAAGACCTTGTACTCTCTTGAGATAAGCTGAGGGGTTATTAATATATCTTCTGACGGACGGAGGGAGGGAGGGATATGGTGATACAACATCTGATCTTTTCTTGACAACTTATTGGATGAAAGACAAGTATATAATAATTGGTTGGGGCACAGACAGAGTGTGATCAGCATTCCAGTAAGGAAAATCAGCCTTGGAAGACGCATGGAATTGAAACAAGGTGAGTTATGAGAATAGTTAATTGGACAGATGGACTGTTGGTTGTGGCCAGTTTCTTAGCCCTATGTATGAAATTCAGTCTTTTTTTTTGGGGGGGGGAGAATTTTAATATTTATTTTTTAGTTATGGGCAGACACAACATCTTTGTTTTGTATGTGGTGCTGAGGATCAACCCGGGCCGCAAGCATTCCAGGCGAGCGCGCTACCGCTGGAGCCACATCCCCAGCCCCTGAAATTYAGTCTTAAGAATATTATTGGTAATTACTGTTTGCCAGGCATTTTTCTAGACATGGCAATTGTCCTCATGCAGCTAAATGTAGTGGAACAGTTTGATTAAGGAAGTAGGGGAGTCAATGAATGAAGGATTTGATAAGGAAAATAGAGGTGAGTGTAGTCTAGGGTGTTAGAGGAGATGACTTGGAGTTACTCTAAGGAAGAAAAATGTGTCACAGAGATCACGGATACCAAAGTTTGGAATGATGAAAAACCTGAAGGATTTGAGGAACTGAAACTTTTTTATTGTGGTTGTGAGAAGGAGAGGGTTTGGATGGCCTGTAATTGAAACTTGAAAGGTAAGTTTATATGATAATATCCTAACATCAAATTGAAACCTTGACAAACAGGCAGCATATTGACAGTCTAATCTCGAATACTTCTGGTTTTTTGCTTGTTCACTACCTGCCTTAGATTGTTTTCTTAAGTATGATTTGTGTTAGTTTTCTGTTAATGATTCTAACATAATGGTGAAATAGGTAAGTACTTTTAATAAAACAACTAGTGTATTCCCTTTGGGGGTAGGGCGTGACCAGGGAATATTTGATCACCTTTGTAGAACTTGAAAACAAATTGGAGAGCAAAACCTTTAATTCCCCCCCCCCCAGGGGTGGGGGGGGGTGTCAGAAGGTCTTCTCTCTCACCCCTTTCTAGAGGCTTGGCAGTAAGACTGAATTGGCATTCTGATGGGGCAGCAAGTGATCCTACAAGACAGATTTTAAACTTTTTACATTGAAGAAAATTTATAACATTGTAAATGCTTCAATACCTTTTTGTTGCCTTGTGATTTAGGGAGTAAACCAAGTATAGATTATTAAACTACTTGCTTACACAGAACTTGAATCTTAAACTGTATTTACTTATATTTTCAGATACTATAATAGTTGACTAGTGACTAACACCTTGTTTTCTCCTCAGCATTGACCTGCTGTGTATTTTAGACTCTGAATTTAGAATTGGAATTGAAGTATACAAAATAGGCTCTTAGCAGATTTTTAGACTTGGCTGCCTAAACTTTGAGTCAGCTAATCTGGTAGGTTTAAACAGTGTCATTGAGATTTTTTCTGGTACTATTCTTGTACAGACAAGGAAGGGAATCTGAGAGGAGGAAAAGAAAAAGAAGGGAYGGTAGTGCAAGGAGTACAGAATGAGGAGAGAGAAAAATATGGAATTAATAGAGAAAATGTTACATGGCTTAATATAAGGTTTCCTGTAAGAAGTCAGCATTTCAGAGATCACAGATCTTTAATGAGGCAATATTACTATTTACATATAACAATATTGCATAAGTATTTAAATGTTTAATGATTTAAAGATTAGGGGACAGGGATCTGATGATATTCATACTAATTGCACTAATGTTCTTGGCTGCTGGAGGAAGGGACAGTGTATCAAGGTAGCAGACAGACTTCTTACAAATGAGAGCAGAAAACATATTGCTTGCTGTTTCTGTTATCCTACATGCTAATGATTTTATAAGCCTTTACTCCTTTGTATTTTTTAGTTTTGACTCTTTATTCTTTTTCCTATATAGTGCATTATAAAAAACACAGGCAAATTTATTTAATGTTGTATAATCCATATCAAGTTTCTCTAGCATTTTTATATGAAGTCATGATTGGTGTGGAGAGAATCAGGACTTCTGCTCCAAATTAATTTAATGCATTGAGTTGCCTCTATATTTGATTGTCCCTGGGGATAAAACATGCAGAGAGCACACACAGTCCATACAAAAGCAAATTCGGCTCTGAGTATATACACTTGGCTGCTGTGTGAGCTGAGCTATTTACTGATCTTGAGAATATATTTTCTCTAGACTTAGAAGGAGCCCTAAGGAACCCTGAGCCCTACTCTATGTTGCTTTCTTAGGAAGGGACATTCCCTAGACTGAAAGCAACCCCAGGTTCCTTTTCCACAAGGGTCTGGGGGTTCTGCAGGGATGGAGGTGACATGTAGAGACCAACCAGTAAAGACATAATGGGAGAGCAGATCACAGTGAATCCAAAACAGGAGTACCAGTGGAAGCAGTTCCCTTTGTTGACTCTTATAGAATGCTCAAAACTATTATGTGCCTCTGGAAGTGGGAATAAGAATAAGGATACTGGTTTCTCATTTAAGTGTGCTAACAATAATTATTAGATATTTACCTTAGTATCTACTAGGTATACTGCCTGTCATTCTAAGAAAATTACAAAGAATGTATCAGGATGGCCCATACTATCCAACAACTTTGTGAGATATCTAGGCAAATAGTTAAAGTAGGAAGAATATACTAATAGACCCTTCCTTATAAAGTATATAGAATGGACATTATAGATACGCAGAGTACGTTTAGATTGTCTCTTAATAAGCTAATTTCTTTAAAGTGGCCATGTTTTGATTAATGATTCAATAGAGATCATATTGTGTGCAAACTTTTTATAAACTTGATTAAAACAAACAAAGAGCTCTTGCCCTCCTTTTCTGAAAGGAAACAGAGATTCCATAGCTGATTGGAAGAGTGGTGGCTAGCTGACCAGAGGCCAATGAAGAAGAGAATTTGGTCAAATATCAAGCCCTACACACTTTGAACTTGCATTTATTAGAAACCCAACAATAAATTATTTTTTCTATTTTGTAATTCTTTTGGAACCGCATTATGTGTCTTTTAGTTCCACAAATATTGAATTTAAAATTATATGCTAAGAGTTATGAATAAGGCATAGTCTCTCTTTAAAAATTTAATTTAATGGACTCAGGAACTCACCTTCAAAATATTATCATTACCATGGACAGTGGTGCAAGCCTGTAATCCCAGCTACTTGGGAAGCTGAAGCAGGAGGATTGTGAGTTCAAGGCTAGCCTTGGCAATTTATCAGAGACCCTGTCTCAAAATTAAAAAATAAAAATAAAAAAGGAGACCTGGGATGTAGTTCGGTGATAAAGCACCGCTGGGTTAAATCCCCAGTAAAACACACACACACACACACACACACACACACACGTGCACGCACACACACACACAACAGAGCTATCATTTGTGTCAGTTCTAAAACTTTTTTTTTTTGATTGTTCATTTGTAAGAGACACACAAAGTCCTTTAATAAGGACTTTTGCTTACTTGCTAGACCTGACAAAGACTTCACACTGTATTATCAGTGGCTCCAATGTAACATTTGTGTTCCTTACCAGATTTCTACTATGAAATGAAATAGAGTACTTAAGAAACTGTCTTCAAAATTGTAAATTTGAAAGTTTGGGAAACATTACCTGTATATTCTTAAGGGTTTGTTAAAAAGTTTACTGAGAAGTATATGTAGCATACAGAGAATGTAAAATATATAAGAAGAATGTAAAGAACAACGACAAAGTAATTACCTTTGTATCCATTATTTAGGTTAGGAAATAGAACACATCCACACTCTGAAACCTAACTTTAAGCACCTGTTAGGTGACTAAAACACTTGTTTTTCTTCATTTTCTACATTTAGGTTATCTTATTTGTGACTAAATGTAATATAATCTGAAATTCATAACCATAGATTTTTAAAATTTTATAATAACTATTTAATAATTAATGCATAATAAGATAGCCTGTGTATAAAATATGTTTAGAATGCTCAGAAGACTTGATTATAGGTAGCTTTGGAGTGATTTGAAGGAGTACTTCAGGTTTTACAGATTATTTGATAAATTGATATTTGCTTTTTAAAATGGAAGGGTGGGGGTGGGGAGAGAAAGACAATAGCAAGTGCTAACAAGATTGTGGAGGAAATTTAACATTTATGGGAATGTACATTGGTACAATCATTTCAGAAAATGCAGACAGTATTTTCTAAAGTTGAGCAAATGAAAAGAATACATGCATTATGATTGGTGGTCTACCAGTCAGTTGGCTCTCTGTGTGTGTGTGTGTGTGTGTGTGTGTGTGTGTGTGTATGTGTGTATGTGAGAGAGAGAGAGCGCGCTCCTCCGCATGTGCATGCGCATGCTAGTGCTTGTTAATAGTTGGAACTACCAATGGTCTAAAAAGTTAACTTTGAAAATTCTTCAATATTTAACAATCAGGATAAGATGAGCTGTGGCATACCAACCCAATAATTCTATTCTTAGATATTTATCTATCAGAAATGTATATATAGTGGCCAGTAGACATCAAAGTTGTTTATAGCAACTCTTTGTAATGCTAAAAACTGGAAACACCTCAAAAGTCTGTTAACATAGAATAGGTAAGTTGTGGTACATTCATGTAATAGAATGCAGGAATAATGATGATCGACTATTTACTCTAATTGTACATAATATTACCAATGGATTCAGAAATAGAAAGTTGAAACCAGACACAAAAGAATATATGCTTTTCAATTCATGTAAAGTTAAAAAGTATGCAAACTAACCTTGGGGTAGTTTTTATCATCCTTATTTGAGGCATTCTGAGTGCAAGGTGGCACAAAGGACCTCTTGACGTTCAAGTTATATTCTATTTCTTGATTTGAGTGCTATTAACTAGGATATTTTCAACTAGTGAAAAATTATTGAGCTGTGTCTTATGTTTTGTATACTTTTCTGAATATATGTTTTATATTAACAAAAATGTTTTGATTTTCGTTAGGCAAAAAAAAGTTGATTTACATAGGGCAAAAAAAGCCTAGGAGCAAAGATGAGATTATTGAGGATATATGTATAAAATAAGAAGAAAAGAGAATAGAACCATGGGGAACACAAAATCCACATACACATTCCTGTTCTTCCCCATTTTCCTTATGATCCTTTCCAGCTTTCTGTATGAAAGCATGGCAAAGGGAAGGATAATACTAAGAATAAAATTTCTMTTAGGGTGCAGTTGCTCTCGTAGCATTCTGTTTCCAAGGGGATATTTGGACTGAATTAGATTTTGAAAAAGTTAAGGGTCGGAAAATGAAAAACTACTGTGATGAGAAAGACTACCTGGAGACAGGACATTTAACTAAGTAGAGAAAAGCAACATTTTTTCTAAGCCTTTTTAGTTTTATTAGGTCCCAATAAATGCATTGTAATTATGTCATTCTCCTTGATACACTGAAATGATATGCTTTGTGAATTATTTGATTTGAGAAGGAAAGAAAGAAAAAATAAGTACTTAAGAGAACTTTTCTTTCTTTCCTTTTTTTTTTTTTTTGTTTATTTTTCATTTTTAAGAGGTGGGGTCTCCCTATGTTCCTAAGACTGGTCTCAAAYTTCTGGGTTCAAGCAATCTTCCTGCCTCAGTCTCCTGAGTAGTTGGGACTAAAGGTGCATGCTGCTGTGCCCAGCTGAAAGAATACTGTTTTGTTTTGTTTTGATACCAGGGTTTGAACTCAAGGGCACTTGACCACTGAGCAACATYCCCAGTCCTATTTTGTGTTTAGAGACAAGGCTTCACTTGTTTTTGCTGAGGCTGGCTTTGAATTCACSATCCTCCTGCCTCAGCTCTCCGAGCTGCTCGGATTACAGGCATGTGCCACTGCTCCTGTCCTGAAAAGTACTTTTAAAAGCAGGGATATATTCTCAATTCAATATTATGCCTGTGGCTGATTAACACATAATAGTAGAAAATTGAGTCTGTTAATCTGGACACCTATATACTTATCTCTGTTTTTTCAGAAATGGCAAAAAGTCTTTTGAATGCAACATCCTTGTCTGCAAGGACAAAACTACTACATCAAGTGGGAGTATCACTTTATAATACTTCTCATGGCTTCTATGAAGAAGAAGTAAAAAAGACATTGCAGCAGTTTCCTGGTGGATCCATTGACCTTCAGAAGGAAGACAATGGCATTGGCATTCTTACTCTGAACAATCCCAGTAAAATGAATGCTTTCTCAGGTATCATCTTTTCTAAAATAAAGAATGACACTTAATCTTACGTGCTATCACATATTTTGTCTTTGTCTTGTGACTGAATCTTCAAAATCTTGGTGCTCTTTGTAGAATGCATGCAACCAAATGAAACTCTGTTACATGAACCGGGAACATTTTTACTAATGTTAAAATGGTATCTTAATGTTTTAAAAAGAATTGTGAACACAGATATTGATAAAAAGGACACTGTTAAATCAGTCTTATTTTTTCCATAATTATATTAACTATATAAAAACTTTGTTTTCAGCTAATGCCACTGAGAAACAAGAAAGAGAAAGTTTCAAAGATTTACTGAAACTGAATAGAAAAACCCATAAATGAAAAAAAAATTTTGCTTACATTTTTTTTAATGAATTGAGATGACTGTCATTGTTTATTTGCCTCCCTTGCCTACAAAGTGTTCAGTTTAGAAAAAAAGGCACTCCTTTTAAAAATTGTCTTTTAAAATTTTTAATTGTCATATATATGTAGTACAGTGTGATAATTTGATACATATATTTAATATATAATGTTAAAATTAGAGTATCATTTTCTTGTGTTGAGACCTTCAAACTCCTCTTAAAATTATTTTGAGATATAAAATGTTATTTCTTATAAATACATAATGTTATTTGTTATAAATGTATTATTTATATATATTAAACTATATATAATAAAATAGTTTTATATATGTTGCATATAATGATTATTAACACTATAATAAGTTATTGTTCTGTAGCATTTACCAAACTAGTGAGTATTAGAACTCATTTTTTCTCCAATTGAAACACTGCACTGGCCTATCTGTTGACTCTTGCCTAACTCTTGGATTCTGATGAATAACTTTTACCTATTAGTCAAAATTCTGAGCATATAATAATTTTATATTTAAGAGACATGGAGACCAGAACGTGGTAATTTTTACTAAAGCTCAAATTTGAATCACGCTACCATCATGTTATATAAGAGGTATCGAATAGCCTTCTTGACCACACATTATGTTTYAAGGTGATTTTGTAATCTACTTGTCAGTTATGCACTGCACGGGGCAGAATAGATTCTATTCTTTAGTAGCACTTGAATATTGGACTCAAAAATATCTCAGTAATTTTATGTGTCTATATATAATTATCATTATAACTGCAGATATAATTGAGTAAGTTGTAAACTTTGTAAATACCAGTAGTGAGTCTTTATAACTCACAACTTTTCTCTCTGCTTATCAGAATTCAGAGGTGTTTTTCTTTTCTTTTTTTTTTTTTTTTGCTACTTGGGATTGAATCCAGGAGTACTTAACCACTAAACCACATCCCCAGCCCTTTTTTGTATTTTATTTAGAGACAGGGTCTCACTGAGTTATTTAGGGCCTCACTAAGTTGTTGAGGCTGACTTTGAACTCAAAATCCTCCAGCCTCAGTTGGGATTACAGATGTGCGCCACCACACCTGGCCAGAGATATTTTTCTAGGTCAGTGCTGACCAATAAAATATAATACAAAACCCAAATGTGATCTGCATGTGTAATTTTAAATAGTCTAGTAGTCATCATTAAAAAAAAATCAAAAGAGAAACAGATAAAATTGATTTTAAAAATAATACCTTTAATTTAACTCAGCATATCTAAAATATTATTTCAATAAGTAACTGATACATTAATGAGAAATTTTCTTACTAAGTCTTCAAAAGATGGACTTAAACTCACTGTACTTCTCAGTTTAGCCACATTTCAAGTTCTCAATAGCTACATGTGCTTCATCATTACTTTATTAGATGCTATAGTTCCATACTTTCAGTTAGCTTTAAGGAATAAAATCCAAATTTGATATTAGCCCAGGAAAAATAAAATTAGAAAGTCAAGAATGCTCTAGAGGATTAAATTATATTAATGGTTTTAATTTGCTACTGAATAGTTACAAATAATCTTTTGTTCTATAGGAAACACTAATTTAATGCATAATGTATCAATTTAGTAAAAACAGAGCTGCTTTGATTTGAGTAATGATGTTTAATTAGGTTCATTGGGAAAGGATGAGTGAGAATCATTCATCCAGATACTTTATTTCATAAAGTCAAAAAAATGAATTTAAGATTAACTATTGTATAGATATTGTTAGACTCAAGGCCAACATAATTATTTGTAGACACTTAAATATCTTAGACAATTTGAGATCCATATTTGCCTATATAGATTTATTCTTATCTTAAACATGTAGGTCTTTTACTTCCCCTGCTAAACTGGAAATCATTTGAGAGCAAGAGCTCTACTTCTAAAGCACCTAGGACTTTCTTGGGAAGGGTTATAGTTCTAAATGTGCCATAATTAGTGACTAGAGAGCATAGCTACATTACTCGATTTTCTAAGTCCAAACATTGATTTAACATTTGTTGTAGAACCACCTTGCTACTGGCTACTTCAAAAAATGGTAAAGAAAATAATAGCTCTGACTTTAGGGATTTTATATTCCAAAATTAAATGTATGTAGTTTAATATGAGCTATAAAAATTTTTCTGGAAACTTGGCATTTTAACCCTTTGTTGTGGTTTTTACATTGCTTCTACTTTGCAGTTTTCTAGGCAAAGGAAAATAAAATTAATTATGTTGAAAACATTACAGACTTAATAAACTTGGAAGATTACCAAAGATAAGCACATTTAAAATTCACTGATTAAATCTTTAAAGTTTCTTTTTCTGTTTTAAATTTATTATAAAGATGCTCGAATAGAATTTTGAAATATCTAATCAATAATTCATAGATTTCATGGTTGGAAGGCCTGTGAAGCGTATCTGTAGTTTACCTTGGGTTTGTAAAAGCACAGTTCATCAACCATGGAATAAGATATTTACTTCCTGAACTTTCCTCAACTGGCATCTTGTTATACTCCTACTGGTATGAACAGAGTAGGAATTTCACTTTATTCYAGTATACCATATGTTTGGATTGTCACAAGGTCTCGTAGTCATATATTATAACGTTTGTTAAGATTATCAGTTGGGACACTTATGCATTTGCTGTGAAGTTATCTCTATATTTTTATGTTTACCCTAAGAAGTAAGTTTTTCTCAATCTCAAATTGTACATTCCAGTTCCTACTCCTGGGACATGTATGATAAATTTAACTTTCCTACTTAAATATATATTTGTATGAATTCTTTTGGTACCAGGGATTGAGCCCAGGGCCCCTTAATCACTGAGCCACATACCCAGCCCTTTTTATATTTTATTTTGAGACAGGGTCTTGCTGAGTTACTTAGGGCCTTGGTAAGATGCTGAGGCTAGCTTTGAACTCACGATCCTCCTGCCTCAATCTCCCCAGCCACAGGGATTACAGGTATGCTCCATCACTCCCAGCTATTTGTATGAATTCTTGAGGTAGAGATAGATAAACTAAAAAATTTGTGTCTTTAAAGCAGAGACTCATAGGTCCTCTTATGTACTCTGTTGTACCAGCACAAATAGGCATTTGATAGACATTCAGTAAATATTTGTAAAATACATGAACTAAAAGTCTTGCTTGACATTTTTTTAATTATCAAGATTTTATTTAGCATGACAATACAGTTTATACTAAATTAATTTATAATAAATATGTACAGTTATAAAAAATGTTTGGTGCTATCTAAGAAAAATGTTTCTTAATCTGTCAAGGATATGCAAAATCCTTTAAATAGCTGACTTAATTTTCAAACCCAAAGTTTGGTAACATTGTTGATGAAAATTGGAAATTCTATTCCCTGTAATTCATGATTCAGACAGTGTTCAGTTTATAACGGTTTCACTTGCCCTATCCGTTCTGGCAACGTCCCACAACTGAATGAGAACTTGTAGCTAGAAATTGACCCTATTTCCTATACCTGTACAATGAGGGATCCACTGGCCTGGCCTCAGACTCCAGAGCTAATTAGACAGAGATTGGGTTAAATTGGGTTAGATTGGCGTAAAGCACAGAGGTGTTCCACAAATGTCTATGGGAGTAAATAAGGCACAAGCATCACTTAGAACTCCAATCATACCTGAAAACCTTGATTTTACTTTCTGATTACTTTAGGATTCATTCCTGGTATGTTATATTGTAGTTCTAAAACTTAAGCAACACAGTTGATTTAAAACACAATCATTAGGTCTGGGGATATAGCTCAATTGGTAGAGTGCTTTCCTTGCATGCACAAGTCCCTGTGGGTTCAATCCCCAGCACCACAAAAGAAAACAAAAAMCAAAAAACCAACATTCCTATTATTGCAACATTATCAACAGTCACTGACTGTTGTATTTCTTTTCTCCTGGGATGTTTGAACTTGGGCAACTTTTCATCAACAGCAAAGAGAGTGTATATGTTAGCACCATCTACAGTGAGCTTGAGATAGTTCATTTCTCTTTGCAGGTTACTGCCCACCAGAGTCAACCTGTACCCTACTCTGTTCATCTGAGCAGTCACTTTCCTTTTCAAAGTAGTGTGGATTATTTCTGGGCTGACAGTGTTCCTAAACAGCAGTGAGATTTCATCTTGTCATGAATATTCCATATAATGTACCAAGTACAGCTAGCATATAATTTTTGATTTATTATGTCTCAGCCTAATGGCTGCATATAGCCATGCTGCTGCCAGGTTTAAAAAAGAAAAAGTCCACTTGTTTTAATTTAAACTTCAAAGGAGTGTAGTTTATTTATCGATTAGTATAGAACATTCATACTATAGCAGGCTTTTCTAATTGCAGGAGCCATACCCAAAATAACTTGTCAGATATCAGTACATTTTCATACACACAGCAAAGTTGTGTTTGTAATGGAAATTTTCCAATTTTCTTGTGATTATAATTTCTTTCTACTCTCAGCACTCTAGCAAAGGAAGACTAATAGTCTATCTTCATATATTTCTCCTTCTCCCTGGCAACATTTCTCTGGTAGAAGTTCATGTTTGGTTTGGTTGCATGCTATAGAGGCTTATTAGATGTGTCCACATGGATATATTTATTCAGAACAGGCCTCCCATTTTCAAGTTCATTCTCTATTGTAGATACTTGGCTTTTTAGGAGTAGGGACACAATACTGTGATAGGCTAAAAGCACTGGCACCAGCCATATAGATTTGGTATTAACCCCTCTATGAAATGCAATTTCATTGGTTTTATCAGAAAATAAACAAAAATCTAGACACAAAAATATTTTCTTTGATCTGGTAAAATAATTAAAGCATTCATTTACTAAGTTGGCTTGTTTGTTTTTTTTTTGTTTCTGTTTTTTTTTTAATCTAGTTATGGTTTTTAAAGATCATAAGGAATCTCCACTTCTTTGACCATTTCACTTTAGACTTTTCTTCCTTATTCACTTACCTGTAGCAATGGAGAAAATATAGTCCATCTTTTCCTCTTTAATACCACAATAGAACTCTGTCCATGAAGTGTAACAGAAATGACATGCTGAACAGAACCTGAACGTTCTAATAATGGAGACTGTCTTTGTGATGGAACCAGAAGTGCAGTACTGATGAAGCAGTGGATTTTTATTTAAGTTAATATAATAAGCTGATGTCAAATTTCAAAGAAAGCTAATTTTAACCATCTTAGTAACTAATTAAAAATATAATCTCTTTTTAATAAATCCTAATGACTGAGGTAGATGATGCTGTTAAATCAGACACTGAATTAGGTTTAAGGTATAAAAATGATAACTAAGGGAAAGGAAAGAAAGCACTGATTTAAAATTATCTTCCTTTAAATTCAGGTGGATAATTAAGAATGTTTCCAATTCAATGTTCTAAACATGAAATCCGGGTATGACATGTCTTGGGCTGACTTTTGTATTTGAAGATGAATTCAGCAGTTGGTGAAAAGACCCAGGGGCTAACAGAATGGCAAACGACGAAACAGCTGTCCCCATGAAAAAATCAGTTACTCTGCATTTGATATTTCCATCTGGGCTCATTCTCAACTGTTCAGGATGTGGATTCCTAAAGATTTCTTAAGCATTTAAGTAATTTTTTGTTAGTTGAAGGTGCTGGGGCTGTTTCTCCACACATTAAATTGATCTTTGTCTTGAATCACTTTCTTATGAGAGACCAGCTAGGACATATTGCCACATCTTCCCCATTCTCCAAATCTTCCTTGGTGATAGAAAAGTTATCCCCACACAGGCAGGTGTAGAAATACATTTCRGAGTTCTCGTCATATTGTAAGTCCTTGATCTCCACCTCTTTGTAAAACTCTGCCCCATGGTTGTTGGGGCTAGCAAAAGGCTGGTGCCCCAGTGGTCCAACACCGCCTCTGTTGGTCTAACTTCTCGAATGTCATCTGGGCTTGCTTGATACACTTTTATTTCTGAATTATTTCTGTTTTTGTAATCTCTTACATGTGTTGTGATTTTTCCCCTTCCCTCTYTGGCAGGTGTTATGATGCTACAACTTTTGGAGAAAGTGATTGAATTGGAAAATTGGACAGAAGGGAAAGGACTCATTGTCCGTGGGGCAAAAAATACTTTCTCTTCAGGATCTGATCTGAATGCTGTGAAAGCCCTAGGAACTCCACAGGCAAGTGTTATGTGAATTATGCATTAGGTTGTGTATGTCGACCAGACGTTTAAGATATTTATATTTTACTTATGTGATTATTAGCATTATTGTACTCTTATATAGCTTTCAAAGGGTCAGAGGGTTTTGAGATTTGTTTTGATTTTTGTAGAACTATAAAGAATTATAAGGTGAATGATTTAAGGGAAATAAATGGCTCTTAAGGTTTTACCAATAGGATATCTTCAAAGGGTATTCTGGTTAACAGAAATTACCAATCTTTGTGGCTTAGATGAGCATTGAGTTATGTTGGTGTTTTTGGAGAGTGGAATTCTCTCTTTCTTGCTGTCAATATTGCTCTTGCTTGTTTCCCCCAAATTCTGCTTTGTTTCCTTCTTTTTCAGATCTTTTGATTCTTTCTGTGCAAATTTTAAAATTTTAGAAAATTTCATAATTTAGAGAGAAGTTGCAAATGTAATACAAAGTTCCCATGTACCTTGGACTCAGTTTCTCCTGATTTTAACATCTTATTTACTGTAGTACTTAGGTCGGTCACAACTAATGAACCAACATTAGTATTTTATTGTTAGTGAAAATCCACTGTATGATCTTATATCTGGAATCCAAATTCATAAAAGCAGAAAATAGAATGGGGAGAGGGGGGAGAAATGGAGTTTCACTTATATTAGATAATCASTTCTCAAGATCTATCTTACATTACAGAACAGTGTCTATATTTAACAGTATTATAGTGTATACTTAAAATTTTCTAAGAAGGTAGTTCTTTATGTTAAGTGTTCTTATCACAYAGACATAAATAATAACAATAAAGGGGATAGGAAGAAGCTTTCGTGGGTGATGGGTATGTCTATAGCCTTGATGGTGCAGATAGTTTCATGGCTAATTATCTACAAACTCATCAAGTTTTATACATTAAATATATAGTACTTTTTACATATCCAATAAAGTGGCATAAAAGAAGGACAGAAAAGAAATACCAGTCTTTATTTGTATTTTACTAGTTTTTCTGCTTTAAAATTCTATCCAGGATACCATAATACATTTAGTCATTTTGATTCCTTAAATTCCTCTCCTCTGATAGTTCCTCAGACTTTCCTTCTTTTCATGATTAATGCTGGTTACATATTTTCCAGTTTCAGTTGGTATTTGTCTGGTGTTTTTCTCATATTAGATTGAGGTTATAAGCTTCTGAGAGGAAGATCAGGGGTCAGGTTCTCTTTTGATGGCATCCCATTACGGAAACATGCTGTCAACATGAGTTTTCASTGTGTATGTTAACCTTGGTCATCTGGCCATGATAGTATTTGCCTGGTTTCTTTAAAGTACTTTAAAGTTACTTTCAATATTCTATGGTAAAAGCAAGTCACTAAGTCATCAAGTTTAGTCCATATTCAAGGAAGGAGGGAGAATAAATTCCATCTCCTGGGGTCAGTTATTTGAAATTCTTCTCTAAGGAAAAATTTGTCTTTCCCCCATTTATTCATGTATTTATTCAATCATTTATTTATGTCAGTACTACTCATAGATATTCATTTTATGTGAATTATTCATCTGTTGCTCAGATTGTTCCAGCTTTGGCCATTTGGAGCCCTTTCAGCTAAGTTCTTACTTCCCCTTTTTACTTTTGTTTTATCTATTTTGATGTGGTGCTAAAGCTCAAACCYAGTGCCTCACATGTGCTAGGCAAGCAGTCCGCCACCAAGCTACAACTCCAGCTGTCTTGCCTCCTTTTGGAACATCTTTTGTTTTTTGTTTTTTTTTTCTTTTCAAATTATTGGTAATTTTAATTGGTTCACTTAATATGCAAATGATGCCAGCAGGTATAATCAATTGTATTTGAAGCTTTAATGTTTAGAGCAACCTACTTTCTAAGGACACAGAGAAGCCCATGAAAATGTCATGCAAACAGGGAGACAGAAGACGGCAATCTACATCTCAAAGAGTGGGCCTCAAAGGAAATCATTCCAGCAAGTATCTTGATATAAAAATTCAAGAATTAGGACAAATAAATACCTGTGTAACTCAGTCTATTCATTGTCTTATGAGATCCCTGTGACACTGATGCAGCCCATTAGGATACACATACACTGTCCCTGCCCCTTGGTTGAATGAATGTACAATTGGATCAAATCACATTCCAACAGCATTGAAAGGCTGACTTGCTGTAAAAAAGTAAAATAAATTTCTTACTAGAATATTCTAAAGGCATTCAAGGACATAGCTTCTTACCAGATGGGGCTATAGAGACTTGTTTTCTGGTTTGGCACATCCATAAAACAATATAGACTACATTTACCTCCTTTGTTTGTTTAACTCCCACTTTTCTTTGTGTCAAAACTTTCCTGGTAAGGATGTTCATATATAAGTCTCATAAAGGATTAGAAGGCCAGTGGAGTTGACTGATACATGGGCTACCTGGGGCAGGTAGTTAAAACAAAAACAGTAGCAGAAAAGAACTATTCAGTGCCCAATAAACACTGACAATGATGTGAAAATGATTTCTCTGTTATTTCTTCACATATGTAATCTGAAGATTTACATCTATTATGTTGTCAGGGAGAATAATATAGTCTAGAATTCTTTTGGAATGGGCATGTAGATCATTCAAGTGGTAAAATTTTCAAAGTTTAGGTGATTCCCCATCTTGGGTATTTGTTCTGCATATTCTGGCCATCTCCAGTTTTTTGTTTTTTTGTTTTTTTCTCCTGAGGAGACAATTCTCCAGAAGGCTTAGCTAACCTCACACCACAGATATCATTGTGAGTTTTCTGGTGCACTTGCTCTTTCCTGAGGAGACAGAATTAACAAGTAGCTTTCTTGTGGTCTACAAGGAGCTCAGCAAAAAGTAGGACAATAATTAATACTGCCTCTTTCCAAAGATGACACTCCCACTGGATTGGTCTTCTCTGAACTGCTCCMTTTTACCCATAAATGCCTTCTGATAAATACTCATAGGTCCTGGTATGAAGGCTGAGCCAACATGCAAATGTGCTCTGGACATTTTTGTGCCTAGAACCCTGGATCCTGGGATGTGGGTCCTCACCTGCCTTCCTACAAAAGTCAAAAAGGCCCTTCCCAGGGGTGCATCCTTAATTGCAGCCGGACACTCTGTACTTATATCTGTAATTTATCTCTTGATTATGAAAGCTTGGATAAATAAATTTTGGGCATGGATTAAAAACTTTTTCACATTTATCATTGTAAAGCTCTTTTAAATGATCACATGGGTGTTTTCTGCTCTTTATCAAGTTTTGCAAAAAATATTTTATTTCTTGTTCTTCTGAAAATTCTTGGTTTTGATTAGAAGTCAGACCAATAAAGAGTAGATATAGATAGATATAGATCTATAGATCTCTAACATCACATCTCCATATAAAGTCTGCTGAGAAGGTTACAGGTATTTCCATTCCTCTTCAGAAAAATCAATGACCACATCCCTTAATGTCAATGGTTCCATTTCCTGGCTTTCAGGATGCTTAGTGTTCCCCATGTAGTTTTTTTTTTCAGCTCCAGTGTAGCACAGAAACCCAAGAGACAAGATTGAAAGGGGCTTCAGGAACTTCCTCCAAAATTGAGCCTGGTAGTGATATTGCCAGTTATTGGTGACAAGTCTTAGTTTCCCACATGTTGAACTTTGAACATTAGAGAAGCATGCTGAGGCAAGCATATGAAGCAGGGTTATTTAGAAAAGGGTAACATAGACTTCTCCCACGAGGGAGAAGGGGGCCATAGCTGGTACCATGGTATCCCCTTGTTTTTTTTTTTTTTTCAAGTACTCCCTCCCTTGCCCTCTGGTATTGTGAGATACTCCAGGTTAATCATGTGTTTATCCCACCTCAGGCATAGAATCAGTGATTTCTCCAATGAGTCCTGGTTTTGGAGAATGGTAGAGTATTGGGAGTCTCTTTTTTTCAAGGCCCTTGATATGGCATATTCCTGGGTTAATTGAACCTTTCATATGGCAGAAGAAGAAAGCTCTGAATTTAGAATCTTGGGTTTAGGTACAGATTTGGCCCATAACTGAGAAAATTAAGAAGGTTGGCCTTTCATTCCTCAGTTCCATGGAAGTAGTAAAATCTACCTCACAGATTTTTGGAGGCTTGAGATGTCCACTAAAATACTGCTTTGTAATCTAGAAGACTATCATACGATTTTAAATGATATAAATTGGTAACACTAAGATGATAGGTTAAATTCAAGATCATCACCCTCTTTCCAGAAGTCAGGTGAAATAACTAAACTCCTTTTGTAGCTGTTTGTTTTGCTTCTTAAAGGTTAAGGTACTATAATATGAAGGACTGAAAAAAAGGAAGGCCAGGAAGATTAGTAATGAACAAAGATTATAATTAAAATCATCAAGACTTTTGAGTTTTTTAAGTGTAAGCTCTCTAGCATCTCTGATGAGGAGTTTGACAAGGTATACAGAGGCACCTAGCAAACTGACACACAGTAAACTTCAACCAGTATTAACGATTTTAAAAGTATGCTTGTGAATTACCTGTTAGAGTAGGAATCCTAATCATTTTCCATTATCAGTTCTCAAAGGAACTGGTTTTTCTTGAATTCAGCCCACATTCCATAGGACAAAAAGAAAAAGAGAAAAGAAAGGGAAGGGAAGGGAAAGAAAATGAAGTGAAAGGAAGGGGGAAATGAAAGCAGGGGAAAAAAGTAAGTAGTATTGGTTATCCATTTAATAATAGTGGGTTATGTGTAGGTATTTAAGTTTTAATGATATTTCACAAGTCTCATACCAGTATATGTAGTGTATTATTCCTATCTGCATAAATATGTAAGAGAAAAATCTCTTCTGATAAACCAGAGCATTGATTTTGATGGAATTGGATTTGAATGCTGGTTTTAACAGTTTCTGGCCAAGCAATTGGGCAAAACACTTAATCTTTCTAAGTCCATTTTCCTAATATAATTTTTAATTTTTAGTTGTAGATGGACACAATACCTTTATTTTATTTATTTATTTTTATGTGGTGCTGAAGTTTGAACCCAGTGTCTCACGTGTATTAGGCAAGAGATCTAACACTGAGCCACAACCCCAGTCCTTATTTTYCTAATCTTTAAATGAGGATTATAATACATATTTTATAGAGCTATTATAAAGATTCAGGATAATATATAATAAAGTGGCTACTAGCCCTGTGTTCGAAAAAGTTGACTATTATTGTTATTTCAAAGAGTTTGAGATAGTAATAAACCTTATTATCCTTAAGATGATGTGGAATTACAGCACCACTTTTAGACTTAAATTTGTAATGTGTTGGAATGGTGAGAGCTTTAACCTGGAAATTTGAAGGGATGGATTGTTTCCCAAGCTTTATCAGTAATTAACTGTGTGACCTGCAATGTATGAAAATAAGTCATCTGATTTTATATATAGATAAAGCTCAAACATGTAAGGGTCCAACGAAGCGTCGGAGAAAGAGACCACAMAAGAGACTGGCTTCATGCAATTGGCAGGAGGGAGTTTATTGAACCAGCATGCTGGGGCTCAAGGCTCACTCAGGAAGGGAGAGCAGCCCAGAGCCCAGAGTGGAGGTCAAGCAGAGCTTAAGTACACTTTTTGGGGAGGGCGGGGAGCTTTGCATACATCAGAACAAATCATCATGAGGT